GCGTTGGTTCAACTTCGCTTCGTGTCCCTCTATTGCGATATATTTACCGCGATTCGGATCGGTTCAGTTCGGTGTTAAATTCTTCTGGGTTGTGCTGTAGCTATAGAGAGAACGAACGAACGCGCGGGTCACCTTAGCGCAGTGAACGCGACAGTTGAGTAGACGAGTTGGTTGTTGCTATGTCGTACTGTTAGAACGTTATTCGCGCCGCAAGATGTTCTGTGGTGGTAGCTTCAGGGCGAAAACTGTCGAAAAGAACGAACAGTATAAGTTAATCAGAGTCGGAGGTGCCGAAATCAAGGTTGTCAGATCGGCAAGCTTTTCGAGATGCGAGAAACCCTCAACAGCGCGTAGATCGTTTACCATGCCCGAGAAAATTATGGAAACTGGTCCGAAGAGGTTCAGTCTTCAAGCCAAACTGGTAAGTGGGAATCTTTGGAATGATCGACATTTTTCTACGAAGGACGAAACTAATTTTAACCCAACATAATTACTATTTAGTTTTTTAAATAGTTATCGTATCATTACGTCACAAACCAAGGCCGATGTTGAATTGCGTGTAAAAATAAGTCATTTTAATGATTTCATTTCCTGATTGATTTCCAATAAATTCACCAAAAAGATTGTATCATTTTTTTATCTTTGTTTATTTAAATATTTATTCTTTTGTAACAAACAAGTCATCGCTTCACTACTTTCCGATAAACCTTTAAAAGTGATTAAGAATTAGTTAAGAATTCAAAGAACCTTGTTTCCCATTCGGTATCAACCCCATTCCACTTTTATCTCTTAAATGGTTATAAAAATTCCTCGATAAGTGCACCAGAACACGCTTCGAATGTTGGTGTTGTGATGTTCTTAAAGAGACCATTGATAATTGTGGGAGATTGTAGACACCAAACATTGAAAAAGGCAGTTAGAAACCGTTACGTGGCCTATTGTCGGGTGATACGGAACAAAAATTTAAAGCGAGACCGAGAGCGATGGTTGCCGCGAGGCAACAGTATTTAAAGCGCGTCAGAAATAACAGTATATCTCTTCGGCAGGCAATGAGAACAATATAATTTGCTCCCCACAGGGCATTACCATCTGCTCGCAAATCATTCTCCACCTTTCCAAACGTTCTTAACAGTTTATTTTTAGAACATAACAATTTCGACGACTTTCATTCAAGCTATTTTCGCGTTCCGATGAAACGAAGATGAATTATGTCATTAAAATAATAAAATTGAAACGATTTTAAAATTGAATTAAAAATAGAATTAACACTAGTAGTAGATCTAGAACTAGAATTACTAATTACTAGAACTACTAACATTACTAAACTACTAAACATTTGGGTTTAGCTCTCAAGATGGCTAAACCTGAATGGTTCTAATTCTAGGTCTAATGTTATTTTTCGTTTTAGTTCAACAGAAACGTATCAATTTTCTTGATACTTTATATCTTTTATTGAACTAAAACTAGAATTAACACTTGCATTATCATTAGAACTAACACTAGACCTACAACTAGAAACATTCGGATTTAGCCGCACGTCTTTCAAGACGGCTAAACCCGAATGATTCTAGTTTTAGGTCTTGTGTTAGTTCTAGTGATGGTGCCAGTGCAACACTAGAACTAACACTATACCGAGAAATAGAAACATAAAAAGATTCTAGTTCTAGGTCTTGTGTTAGTTCTAGTTTTAATTTAATAACAACATGCAACAATCTAACACTGAATCACAATTCAAACTAGAAGTAATACTAGTATTAAAACTAACACTAGACCTAGAACTAGAAACATTCGGGTTTAGCTTTTAAGACGGCTAAACCCGAATGTTTCTAGCTCTAGGTCCAATGTTACTTCTAATGATAGTGCTAGTTATATTAGTTCTAGTTTTAGTTTAATTAAAACCGATCGTGAAAGCATTCGTACTTACATTATTTTAAAATTGTTAAGGAATTTTTCTTTTGAGAACTATTCTAAGGGGATGCGGTTCAAAAATAGTTTCTTCTCCATTATGTCTGTCGGAGGGCTAGCAATCTTTTAAAATGTCAAACGTGACAACCCCTCCCATATCCGATTATTTATAAATCCACGGTCATTCTTTATCTGAACAACAACCCAAAGTGGTGGCGACTAAAATGAAAGAATAGATTTCTTACAAAGATTATAGTCATAAAGAATTTTTAAGATTATGTTTCAAAAAAAATAAAATGAATTATATGTTATACAACAATAAATTAAACTATATTTTTACACAAATTCTCATTACCCCAACACACAACGGTTCCCTATTCATTGAAGGATTTAAATTGAATTAAAGGACCCTCGTGCAAATGTTTGTCTTCAAACCTTATAACCCTTTCTATTTCCCACCATAAATATATCACACTCTCATTATTTGCGATTACAAAATATATTAAAGGAGACTTCCCCCTCAGATACACAAGGTGCTTTTAAATTTAAAAATAATTTATGACATAACGAATCGAAAACGTGACATCTCTTTATTAGTTTTACGATAAGTTATTATAATTTAGTACCTTTCCTTTATGGATACTCGTTTTCCACGTCGATCACGTCAGTATCGAAACACGCTGTATAACGCGAAAAATAAACACGTCGGCTCCTTAAAGGCTTTTAAAGTTTTTTAGGATGCGGCAACGTTTATTGAAAATCGCCAAGTTAATAGACCGCGGCTTTCTACTTGGATCCTTTATTACCGCTACGTTCTCACGTTTGTCCGTTTCGGAAGGTATAAAAACGGCGATGAAGCGCGGTAAAGATGTGAGTGTGTATAAAGAAGGTTTTAATATAAAATGGTATTTCATTTAATGTTCGGTCCGTGGGGTTTTATTTTTCTTTATACTTCTATGCCAAACGTGACTGTACATAATAAGAAGAGATAGAATCCTGGAAAAATATAAATATGATAAGTATATGTTTATCTTTAAACCTATAGTTATTCAGTTCTGAAGTAAAATTCAATTCTGAATTCCAAAACGACAATCGATATCGTTAACTTATTAAGATTATGGTTAACCCAAATCGTATTACAAGAATTGGACTTGTATAACGACCTTCATAATGACATTAATACATTTTGTGGTAACTGATAAATATATCTATCTACTGCAACTTCCTTCTACTTAAATACACTAACACCAACTAAGTGGGCAAATACGTATAAATAAAAGTTTTCGTCGCCAAACAAAAATAGTTATTTGTAAATTCTTAGAACATGTTCTATTGATTTAATGATTTAAACAATTTGTGTTTAAACAACGTATTTTCAAACCTAAGTCAATAATTTCCGGTTTATGATAAATTATTTTTAGTGCTTGAATTCCACAAATTACACGTACATTTGATAATAAATCACTAAATAAATATTTTAACAATAAATTCTTATATAAAAAAAAAATAATACAGACCTGTGTTCTCTATTAAATTAAGAGGGTGAAAGCAAGGAAAACGAAGGGTGTCGGGTTTCTACGGGATATTTCTAGCCATTTCAAAGAGCAGATGCAGGCTCGCTTCGAGCTCAACTTTAATTTCCAATTCAAAAATTGAAAATTGATTTAGAAAAAAATTTTTTCCCCTTTTCTTTTAAGTTGAAGTATTAAATGTTGAATTTAAGCATAAAAGCGAAGTTAAAACTCGTGAATCGTTCTCTCCCTCTGTTTCTTTCACGTTGTAGATATTTTCGGCTTACGTCCGTCCAACATCTGTTGCTTTAGGACGTTGCTTGGCTATTATTAGATTAGGAATTAATAGAAATGCAACGGAAATAGCAGTGTGGATTAAAAGGTTGGTTTTAAAATCGGGATAGGTTAATGCCTTTTCAGTACAAAGTTTAATTTCTATTTAAATAACAAATTAACTCAATCATCCAAAATTTACATTACACATTACATTACGAACATCGAAGGAAATACACAATTTAAAATTTAAACCAATTAACATCACCGGATGAAATGTACTTATTACTTGAACATACATGCTGTGTTTATTAACATGTACCTGTCATAACATGTTTTACCTATTCAAACCTATAAATTTGTTTTTGTGTTTAGTTCTTTTAACGTAAAAAAATTTAAAACGTATCTATTTAAAATCGTGTAACAAATTATGCAAATTAAATTAAAATGATGAACCGCAAATCTCAATAAAATACATTTAATGTTGTATAATGGTGACGATAACACGACGAGATAAATGATCCCACGCGCATTTATTGCATAATGCTCGAAACACCGGATGTTGTACAACTCAAATAATCACTGCATATGAATTGAAGAGTGAGAGAAAGAAAGATATTAAGTAAATTATTAATATACAGGGATCACCCCTAAAAAATAAAATCTCAATACCGTAAACACCCTGTATAAATACTTGTCACAAATAACCGTTAAACCCAGATGTTTTAATAGTTAGTGACACTTAAAGATTATTTTTCTCAGAATTCTACTAGTTAGGAAGGAACAATGAATGCCTTTACAGTAATCCTCCCAGGAAATTGTCATAAACCCCCTGGAAATGTCGCCCCTTTGTCGAAAAGTACCAGCAGATGTTACCATAGTTTATTTTCGTAAACTGTGAAAATTCAGGGGTCATTAAGTTTAATGGATCATTACGTTGAAGTGACTTCAGATTGAATCAATTCATTTCAAACAGAGAAAATCAATTTAAACTTGTTTTTATTACTTTTTCAAATTATGATTTTTGAATCAAGATAAAAATCATTCCAAAAATATTGCGTCGAGATTTCTCTGGGAAATTGAACGATACACCACCAGGAAAACCCTTTAGTCACAACCTTCGCAACGAATTGCTTGCTAAACATCCCAAGTTTTGTAGTAAGTTTGCTCAACTAAATCCTTCTTTAGTAGTAGTTTTAAATACTCTGTATTCTGAGAGCAAACTTCCCGTTCGTTCTTCGCATCCTCCCACTTATTTCCTCGACCATACCCGAACTGATCGAAATGACGAACACGGCCCTGTGGTGACTAACACCCAGCGCACACGCACACAAAGAGACTACCGCACGAACCGAACGGTTCCATGCACCAACACTGAGTTAGTAAGTCTCACACTGCAGTTCGGATAAGAGTGTGAGGCCCACTCCACATAAAACGAAACAATTTTTTTTTTCTTTATCATTCCGTTCGTGTTCGCGTTTTAAGTCTTCCATCGCTGTTAAAAGTCTTCCAATATCTTTTCCTAACTTAACATACATATAACGCGCTTACCAAAAAAAATTGAAGAACACGTGTTTTGTGTTTAATGTCAACTACCTACCTAAATTTTAACGTGATCTGGTTTTTGACATTTTCGGTGTGTTTAGTGTCGATTTTTTCTCTTGATTTTTTTGTGGTCTTCCTGTTTGTGATGATACGATGCCTTGGAATAAACTGAGTTTTGGTGGACAACAACAACAGTGTAATGGACACGAGGATTACGATGACCCTAGAATTTATCCCGATGAATTGGTAGGTTTCAGTGTCCTAGTTTTATGGTTGGTTGGGTTTTTTGTTATGTGCCAATTGTGAGTCGATTTCTAAAAAAAAAAGGTCGACGTATCAGATCAGGTAGATAGGGGTTTTAAAAGAACCTAAAAGTAAAGTTTTAACGGTTTAAAATTTTACAAATATTTTAAAATTCTTCTTGCTATTTAGATAATGGTAATTTAATCGAATAATTTGATTTAATAAGGGAGAAATTGGGTATCTACTCCACACTAGATGGCGGTAGTTTTATTATAAAAAAATCCTAATTTATTCTCAGTTAACATTGACATGTGTTTTTTAAGGCAAGTTCTTTTTTAACGATGTTAAATGTCATCTGGAAAAATGTTTCTTAGTCGTGAGGACGATTTTTTTAATTCAATTCGTGATTATGAAACAAATTTACTTCCCAGGAGACGTATCTGTAAATATAAGACGTCCAACTTCGTGTCGATTTAAACCTGATGGATTGTTTCAATAAATTCCTGTCTTGTTTTCTCATCGTCGAGCGCCTGGCGCCAGACATTTTTGTGCAACTACGTGTGCGCTTGTGTTCGTACAGAAATCGGTCAATGAGCGCGTTTTTAGTTATTGAATTTATTGTTTTCACTTTCTAAATATTTGTCAACTAAACAAAAATTTTCGGCTTTTTGTTATCGTTTGGTTGTAACAAGATCCTTATTTAAAAACATTTCAATAATTCGTAAGCCTTTGATACATTTATTTCCGTAAATAATTTGTTTAATGTACATTATCTTGTGTTTATATTGCGCGTATATCTTGTGTTTACACCGACTAAAATAGGTTAATACTGTCTAGTATGATTAAATAACACATATTTTCTTAATGGAATAATTTACTTTAGTTGCATTTATATTTCCAGTTTAATGTTATTTTTTGAATTCTAGGTCGTGTTGTTTTTGTGTCATATTGATAACTTTGCAATAATTATTGATAACCTTTAATTTAAAAAATACATTATATATGGTGTGTTTGATGTTTTTCCGAAATGACAGTGTTTAAAATTCAGTCATGGTCTATTGTAAAATTGTATTTCCGCTATATGTTGTCAATGTTGCTATGCCAAGCGACCTCAGCGCATAACACATAAAGTTATGGCCGAGATATACATCTAATTCTTGGCAGTCATATCAAATCTTAACTTGTAGTCAGGACGTCTTTTAACTGTGAGAGGTTCCAAGAAATACTTTGTAAAACTCTATCTCCCCAATTGTTGATGTGTTGTCAATGTTGCTATGCCTCGCCCGCAAGCGACCTCAGCACATTATACATAAACGTTATGGCTGAGATATACACATCTTCTTGCAGTCATAAAATCTTTCAGCTCTAAGGTTCCTGGTCCTCGACCTTATTTGTAAAATTCTGTCTCTCCAACTGTTGATGTGTTGATAGCGTGATAACAAAATTGTTCATCTAACTTTCTAATGAAAGAGCAAGATTTTTTTTTAAATTGTATTAATGTTAGTTTATTTTTTTTTTGTACAAAGTAATCAAAATTCAATACATATGGACTCTTGGACTTGAAACTTTTGCTTTGTCGGTGAAACGTTTGCAAATCGATTTCTTTGGGTAACGGTATCAAAGGTTCCCGATCGCAATTTGCGACGCGGGGGCCAATTGCATGCAAATAACACTTAGCACAGCAGGAAACGTTCACGGTTCGACACGATCTGCTTTTCTTCGGCGCGGTCTCCTCCGCAACCCGTTACGGTCGATTGTTATTTATCGCAACCAGACGGTAATGAATCGCGATTATGGCACGTGTATCATCAACGAAGACGGGAATGGATCACTTTTCTTTTTCTTTATACAACAGATAAGTCATTAACCTTTTTAATCTTCTCGCAAGGTTATTATTTATTAACATTAACTGTATGTATCATTTAATATTAAACCAACTTTCACGAGAATGTTATTATTAACGATTAGTGTACTTATAAATTTTCTTTTAATTAGAACCAAGTCGTAAAAAGATATTAGACATTATAATTTTCATCGCAAACCTCTTCATCTAATATTGACATATGCATATTATCGGGGTTGCATAATAATAAGGTACACAGTTACCACGTATGTAAGCAAACACTAAACATAGGAGGAAGCTCTCGTAGTATCTTGTAAGAGGTGAGGAGAAGTTTTCAAGTTGACATTATATCGCACGCGGAGAGGATACATGTTGCAGGACAACACAGTTTACGCTATTTTGCGGTTTACTAAGATTAACGTTAAGGGGCTACCCGCAGCGAAACGTGTACACGTTTTCCACGAACGGCTTTAATTTAGTCCAATTAAAACGAAAAATCGAAATTGCCTCGGATGCTGATGGTGGAAAGAAAGAAGAACGTTACACGTGTGAAGAGAACCGGTCGAGTTAATGTACCGTAACCCGAACAAATACTTCAATTATTTTTTCTCTCTCAAGTAGTCTCTCTCAAGAAATCTTTTAATATTAAGTATTATTATTATAACAAATGTATCAATATGTATCATAAATAATCTTATTGGAGAAAATTAAATAATGGTTTCTATTGATGAAATATCTCTCTTACGCCGGAAATGTTCTTATAAATGAATGAATCCGTTTGTGCAGAGCCAGCCGTCTTCTGTACCGATTAAACAAAATGCTTTAGATAAGCTAATCCGGAGTACGCTTCAATGTCAGTCAACGTTCATGTCTAACCAAGCATAAATTCTATCCAGCTGACAAATATTGATCGAGATCTAACGATAAAAAAGACTTGATCTCGTAAGCCTCTCATCGGCACCCGGCAACCAAAGAACTTTATCCATATAGAAATCCCGTCGAATGAGAACTCCATCATCCAAAGAGAATGGATGCAAATGAAGACTTTAACTTTCAATATGAAGTATTGATCTTCAAAGTTCTTTGGAGTTGACTTGATTATTTTATGAGTTTCTTATCGGACATAAAATATAGTGCGTTTTTTATAGTTTATGAAACATGACATAAATGTTTCGTTTGGTACAATGACACTACAATTAGTCAATTAACTAATTGGACACAGTCGGGAAGCGAAGCGTCCGTTGTTTAGACGGCTGGTATTTATCGGTTTGAACGGCGACAACAAGTTCTTCGCGTAGGAGATATCGCTTAAGCTGTCTCTGAAGTTGATTAGTTAATGAACGACCTCACAAGAGACTTTATGATTACTAATTAAAGACCGCTACAAATTTTTTTAAACATTATTCATTGTGTATTATAAGATAAATCCTTATAAATACTCTTTCTTATGAAAAATATGATTAAATGTTTTAAGAGATAGTAAAATATTACTGCGAAATTCATTTCAGCAGTTTGTAAATTTCAAATTATAATTCCCTTGAAATTGATGAATTCTTGGAGAAGGTTACTAAATCGCTGAATATCCGTGAACAAATTGCTATATATATCTAGCCATATCTGGCGTTGTACAGTTCATTGATCACCGATAGGCTTTTCAGTGTTGACAAGCTCTTCCTGCTCGCCCTTTCAGAATAATCCATTTTGGGGCTGCCCTTCGTAAATTGGCGAGGGTGGCCAGCTGCCCCATCTCCGATGATACATAGCAACCCCCGCGGAAATATACGTGGTGACTCATACACTTTCACGCTGTGGGGTTTCCTCGGCAACAAATTCAACTTCGCTTTTAATTATCTACAAAAAAATGATTTTTTTATTTTAATAAAAATATTATCAAAATAATTTACAACAATACAATTTTCTTGAGAATAAGCGGCAATAAACCTTCAAGGTTTACATTCTTGTTTGCAAGTTTTTTTTATCTTGTCGCCATTCTTGCGATTTCTTAGTAAAGGCTTTCAATGGATAAGCGATAAGACTTCTTCTGCGTCTTCTTCAGGCACAATGAACCAACTCGTTGTACGTAATCTTTACTTTATAAATAGCAATAAATAGTCGATAGTGGTTGTATATGAAAACAGGGATCCATAAAAAAGGTGAAATCAAAGCTGTAAATGAACTGTCTTCTTGATATAAACACGTTAATTGTTATGGGCGACAAGAAACTTTTAAACAAGTCGCGATTATTTAGGTCGAAACGGCGCCAGATATTGTTGATTTCGTTCCGTTGAATAATATTATTCTAATTATAACTAAAATGAAACAATACAAGAATTTTTTTAATGCTATTTTCAAAAATAGTAAATAATAAAATATAAAGTGTAAGAAATTCGTGTTTAGTAGATTTTCTCAAGACGATGTAAGCACAAAACGGAGTTCCACGAAATTGTATTACATGCTCAGAAACTCTTATCAACTTTAGGGCGTATCTTTATTTCCTTACCAGGAATGATATATCTAAAATGTGGAGACGAGCAAACGTCGAGTTTATTAAATTAAAACTTTTTAACATTGCTGAAAAGATTATTAATGTTGTTTCTTTTTGTTTTAGGTAAGTCAACTTCTACCAACAAACTATTAACGTAAAATAAAAAGTTAAGGAGAGGGTTCTACACTAAAGTGCTACTCGATATTATGAAAATATATGGTAATGTATGCAAAACTAAGATACCTTTAAAAAGAGTATAGAGGGAAGAGTAATTCGAAAATCACAGTAATTACTAATAACGATCAAAAAGCTTACATTGTAAATAATTTATTCATTTAATTCATAAACTTCATCGTTTAGGACTCAAATTTAATACTTTCTAAATACACCATTTACGTTAAAAATCAATTCCGTGTATTGCATTTTATCTCTATTTATACGATACAGCAAAGCGATATTAAAGTTTCTGATTAAATTCATGCACACAACACGGTGAGTCATCCACAAACGACCTTCTTTCATAACTGCTTTTCCTAGGAATAGCAAAAAAAAATAACCTGCTTTGGTTTTCTCCGTTTTTGCACACACAAATATGTATTCAGTACATTCGTAACTTTATTTCAGTGCACTTCATATACTAGTTGACGGATTTTATAAATACATAAAAGGTACGTTTTAAAAGTCCGTTTTTATTATTACATCATTTAATCATCATATTAAATCGTTAAAATGACGACACACGGAAATGGTTTATCCGTTTACAAATTGAGGAAGTAAAAAATATTAAAGTTGACAGCCCCTTTATTATTCCTAGAAACAAATAATCGTGTTAATAAATCAATTACTCTTTATCCCATAAACCGCATACATCATTTTTAATATGTATTAAGTGTACTAAGTGCACTAAACGTAGTAAGTGTAGTAAGCGGATTATTTGTTGGGTTTCTTTTTGTTGGTTTAACATATTGTTGTGGCGGGATTATTTCGCCACGCAACTGACCTGGATAATGTTAGAGAGTTATTTCATTGTAGCAATTTTCGTATTACAGCATCTGTTAATTTCGCATTAAGTCGGTATGTGTCTATATCCCACACGCGTGCGACTAAAAACGGTACATGGCTCACGCAGAGCATATATCAAATACCCCACGCTTTGAGATAACATGCATCAGTGACTATTTCGTGTCTTTGATATAAAAGTAATAGGAACCACCAACACAAATATTTTTAATATTCGTTATATATACAATGATAGTAAGCTTAGACTTCATCGTAGAATTATTTGTATTCTTCGAAAAAATAATAAATACGTTTCCACTACCCATGAATCAAGCGGCAGAGTTATATTAATACAGCGTGTCCCGTATCTTCCGCATCAGAGCATTATACGATTGTACGATACATTATTCTGAAGCGATCTTTCTAATAAAATTTTTTCGAAATGTTTATAATAACCGCACGGGAACTGTTTAAACGAACTGTTTTTCGTCCAATCAGCAGATCGCAAATCAGCCTCAGGTAGTCGGTGCCTCCTTCGGCCGGTCCGCTACGCCGATGATAACTTGTTTCCCACGTGTACTCACCAATAGATTCGTCACGGAAAGAGAAATAAACTTTTTCGGTGAATCAAAGTCGTCCGTTATTGGTCGTTGTTAAACAGTTCCCGTGCGGTTATTATAAACATTTCGAAAAAAATTTATTAGAAAGATCGCTTCAGAATAATGTATTCTACAACCGTATAATGCTCTGATGCGGAAGATACGGGACACGCTGTATATACCTATACATATAATGTTGTGAGTTTAAAATTGATTATTGATGTCAACACACCAATGATATCTTGAATACAATTTTAAAGAGTAAACACGTTAAACACTTTTTATCTTTCAGATAATCATAAATGTAGCGCCTCGGCCGTAAGCGACCTCGGCTCAAACATGAAATATAAAAAATTATTATGGTATTACAGTTTATAATTCAAGTCTGGATGTTACAACACGAAATCTCATCATCTTTCACGTATTAATATAATTAGTAAACGTGAAAACGTGATATTAAACGTTGTTGTACATCCACAAATCTTATCTTGTTTAGTCTATGAAATATTATTTATGTAATAACTCATCCAATTTCATAATAACTCATCCAAACACCTCTTTTTTAAATCAACTCAAAGTTCTAGTAGATTGAAATAAATTAATATAAGGAATGAGTTATAAAGTCTCGTCGGTGTAATTATAATTAATGGCTTCTGTTATAAATCACTACTAGTTTCTGTGCCCCTTTTTAATTTAAAACATGCATAACTAACATTTTTTAACCAAATGCACGAGTTTTTTATTCAATTTTTTTATTAGTTTTTTTTCCATCTCCTCCTTCATCAATTATTAAACGAGCTCGTTTAAAATAATATGAGAAACGGTTCGTACCCCGAGGACAATTTTCGTTACCATACAGAATCCGTTCAAGCGATGAATACTAAAACAAACCCATTAACGTATATTACTCTTTGGTGTGCAGCGTTGAAGTAGCGTTTTCGGTTGTAATTTTAGCTCTGTTTCAATGGCTTACGTCGTATTCATTTCCGCAACGGTCACTATTTCCATTCTATTTTCGAAAACCGTATTACTAATTAAAAGCCAACTACAAAGCAATATAAATACTTTAAGGTCGGCAGTAAATTAAATCGAAGCAGTAACTTCGGTAACTTGGTTCTTATTTAAATTCCAGACTGGTTCTAAGTTTTGTGAGACTCTCAAGATTGCCATTTTGATTTTCTTAGTACTTTGATGCATTTTCTTGCTTTTATTGTCTTCCTCGCGTTTCTTAAAACCAGTTTACGGCTTCGTTTATATTACCTGGAAGTGACGTCGTTATGCAACTCGTCGAAAAGTGATTAGTTCGGATGACTTTTAAACCTTGTTTGTTGCTAACGGAAGCTTGCGGAATGTACAGTAATGTTAAAACTGATTGTTTGCAAAATATTAGAAACAACACATACATTTTTATCAAGGTTTCATGAATCATTAAGGGAAATGATTTATTTTCGGAACAAAGCAATTTTATCAATTTGGAATTGATTTGATAATATATAAACAAAAAAAATTATTATATCTTACCTTAATTAACTCATTTCTAAACCAAAATTCATTATACCCAGCTTAACCTTAATTACGGTCCCATTATAATCATCAAGGGGTGAAATTGATGCCCAATAGATCATTATAGGAGAAAGATGGTTTCGGTTGCTGACAAAAGGTGACGGTCAATTAAGTAGGAAGGAGAGCAGCCTTCCTTTTGGCTTGGTGCCCGATGCGGCGTGTTCTTCGGGTAATTTATTAAAACACACTTAATTGGCGCCTGCAGGAAAAGAGATGGTGACTCGTTAAAACCCGTAAAGTCGCGTTTTAACATCGAACAATGCGGTCCACTCGTTACGATAATGAATTTCCTGCGTTGCCTCCGTGGTCGTCCACCTCTCGTCGTCGTCGTCGTCGTTGATGGCGTATCGTGAATTCAATTAACGTGGTTTTCGAACGCTGCGCGGGTGTGCTGTGAACAAACGCATAAATTAACTCGGTTAATTAAGGACGTTGTTGACTTTTAAGTTTTAGTTAAACCCGTATAAAGACTCGGTTTATGTGAATATCCATCAAGATATGTGTGTGATGATATAATAGGAAAATTGAAATATATCGCTTCTCTTTGAAATGAAGTCAATAGGTAAAGTGAAAGTAAATTTAAAATAATTCTTAGCCTGTCATCATGTATGTAAAATATAGGAGCCCGAGGCATAATTTAAATCGAGCCAAGTCAACGTCTCCTCCGAATACATTATGCACGCAGAGTTTATATTTTCATATTCACACTGGCGCCGCTAATATATAGAATCGAATATTTATAGTAGCAAGGACATGAGAGACCGACCGGCTCACACGCGTTTAACGTAGAAAGTGAAATTATGACGTTATTAATAGACCACGTCTGGCGAAAATGTTTATGCGTAAATGTTGCGGGTACCCCATCAATGAAAGTCTATAAACGGACGGCGGATGACGACAGAGCACAAATTCATATTATAAAGTTAATGCCGTAATAGAAACGTCGGCGAGGCGCAATAAACCGTGTGAGATTTACGGGGCAGTTTGTTTTGCAACCGAACGTGGGGGTCGTAAATCAGTTCGTTTTAAATAGACCGGGAAAATGTTGATTTCGCGTTAATTCCTAATAATCCAACGGAGAAGCGATCCAAGATTTACGGTGGGTTCTATTGTCCGAGATGCTAAAGAAACGACGCTACAACATCCAACCTCTTTAATTAGTCGATAATTTATAGGCGGTGATGTCTTGTTAAGGCTTTGAACGTGTGGAATGTTACGGACTTTTTTCTTTTCTAATCTTTTTTTTAAGGTTCTTTTATATCATTAATCAGAATGTTTCAATTTTGTCACCTTTATTTGTATTACTTTGATATAAAAACCGTCGATGTTATACGATTATTTTTATCAAAAAAACGACATTCCCCTTTTCGAAAAAATATATTACAGAGTCGGTGATAAATTCGGCGTTCGTTGTAAACGCGGATCGAAACGAAGTGGGTCCGGGTCTTGTCTTATTCGAGGTCGGTAACCAGTTCTATTTTTGTTCGGATTCTTCGCGATGCGCCTCGCGTTCAAAGGTCGTGAGGCGTCGACCCGACGAGAGTCCCTAGGGATGTCGATGCACATTCCAGGGGACGCGATGTCGCAGCATCTGCATCACAACCATTGTTTAATGTAAAGATCCTCTTATTAATATTAAATAATATGATTTTGAGTTAAATATGGAAAATTTACGTGATTTCTCGTAAATCTGACGGTTTGATGACAACAAACAAACGAGGTACATAATCCACGTCGTGGATATTACCATAATTTATGTCGTCGGAGTAGTTGAGGATAGGTTAAAATGACAGGGGTTACGTTCAGAAATTCAATTCTGCGGCAGCAGAAACAAATTGCTGGAGATCAGGGTCTACACATCCCACCGGTATACGACCATAAATCCAATGGACAATTTGCTAACGGTCCTTATCGCTTGCATCGTTGGATACCTGAAATTTTTAAACGAAGCTACCGACCTGTAGCTGGGAGAGAGAACTCGCGAGAAACGTAGATGTAATCTTGTGCTCGATCGCACGAAAGCATTTATTATCGCCTGGGCTTCTCGGCTTTTGCGAAATATTACCAAAACTGATTATTAACACCTACACGAGAAGAAACCTATTTATTATAAACAAGCATTATAAACATAAAGGGGCATATACAAATCAAGAACCACTTCTAAATAAGATAACAAACCCCAGAGGTGTTTGCTTGTTCATTCCCTACCGCATTCCTATTTCGATCTATCTATAGATACTTAAGCATTGACGTTCTAGAAAGAAAAAAAAACTAGTTCCAGAGCTAAATTGAGTTTTCAACTTTAAATAAATTAGGTGACTCAATAAGTACACATTTAAACGTATCTATGTCCGAAAACTAACAAATGACTCAGCCAGAATTTCTTCGAAAACATTGAATAATTTTACTAAATATAAATCTATTAGAATGATCATTATAAATATAAACGAATAAAAATTGAGGTCAAGTATAAATCCAATCTACCAATCCATGTACAGAGTTTAACCGGTTAAGGAGCACATATTATATGTAGAGAGAGGGAGTTTTAAATAAAGCCCTCCCGTCGTTGTTGGGTTTCTAAAAGTTATTCTCGATTATAATTGCGTCCCGACAAACAAAAGCAATTGTTCTCCTTATATGCACTCGATCAGGTTAAATCGAAATACTAATACTACTTTTAATATTTACAATTCCGCCGATAATAATAATGATAATACATAGTTCGCCACGTGTTATTTACAAAATTTATTTTATTTTGAATATGTTTTGGGAACTTTACATCTGGCCGAACTCATAACTTTTTTATCAAATCGTTCTTATCTGGGGTTGCGCACGGTTCGATGTAATCCAATGTAAATATTGATTGTCGGTAACTTTAAATTTTGCAATATGTTTACGTAAAATTTAATGGTCTTTGAACTTCTACGATAATTACTTCAACATGTGTAGGGCTCAATTAAAATTACCGAGCAATTTAGTTTTAAACTTCCCACATACGAAGTTTTGATTTCTATAGACCCTCGTATAAATGATTGGATCCCACGTATAACTTCCTAACAAAAGATGTTTGGGGTCTATTGTATTGGAGAACATGAAAGGAGCAAGCTCTTAGCTTTGGTTTACTTGTCATTTGAGGTATAAACAAAGAATCTCCACTTCATAATCTATTGTTTTAAGAAAGGGGTGAAATAATGTTTTGCAAGTTATATTTTTTTAAGCCGAGATTACTTCTATTTTTGTTTATATGGCACTAAAAGAATAACACCACTTTCCAAAAACTTCAAAAATGTCCATATTTTTATAACGACACATCATTAAAAATTTAATGACTAATTAAATAGCGTCCTTTTATCCACAAAGGAAATGCTAAAGATCCGTAAACATCAAAGAAATAGCCACTTGAAAGCAATTTACCGCCCTTTTGCATTTAACTTGGCGATTTTCAAAGACAATAAAAGGAGACGTTTCAAACCCCGTCCCTTTAAGGGCAAGTTTTCTCCTCCATTCTACGTTTATTTATAGTGTTCCATTCGTTTCAATGTAGTAAGTACTCGATACTCTCGATAGGAAATATCGTTTTGTGGTGCTTTTCAATGGGTGGAAATAAAACCTGTATAGCGAACGTAATAACATACAACGTTCCTGGGTCGATTAAATCTTTAATAACACTTTACCGTCTCCGCGGTGGTATGTTCACACGTTTTCTTACTACTACTTCTTACCACAAGCGACATTATTATCATACAATACTGTGCCTGTATCGGTAAAATCAAATAAATATCAAGACCGTGTATAGTAGACGACCGTCATGATTATACGTTTTCTAGAGCACCATTTATGGCAGCTGGTTACATTTCATGGGTTAGGAGTTCGTATATAAACGCATAATACAAAAGGAAAAAGTAGATCAAGTGAAGCGTAACCGAGCATTAATTTTCAATGTGGTCTCGGTGCATTGACTCAATTTGCGTCAGACTTGATGTAACTTATACCCATCAATATAAACTTCTGAGTAATACCACTTCACTTTCAATACCAATTCAATCAGAATTTTAAATTTAAACTCTATAATAAAGTTGAATAATTAAATTGAATAATTAAATGTTCTTGAAAACTATTTTAATAGGTGATTAAGAATTTGTAGCATTAAAGACTATCAATGAAGGCTTTCATCGATAACGGATTAGTAGTACATCCATTAACATCGTTTACGATGAGCTTAAGTGTAGGTTTACGTGTTTTATTCCGGGTCAATGATTAGATAAAGACTGCAGTAAGAAAGGATCCCTTTATGAAAATTATTTTAAATACATTCTTTAAACATTTGTTGAGACTATATATTTTCAATAGGAGAATACTAACGGATGTACGTTTTATTCTTGGCTTCTTCCGATCTTTGAGTGACTTCCGGTCCCGTATTGTTCGGCACCGTCATCGCCATGTGTTGCTAAGTACAAAGTCAAATGGGTTTTGGCACAGCTGTTTACCGTTCTCGGTTGTCTACCGGTTTTAATATATCTGTTCCAACTTATCTTTTTAAGAAACACTTTCAGACTCATATATCAATACTTTTACGCATTTTTATTCGATATTTTTAACCAATTTAACCCTTGTCTCCCACGAGATCGTTCTCCCGTAACAGGGGCCCCATGGAATGAAAGATTTTGCGATGTCTAACGAGTCAAGGGGACCTTCAAGTCAAATTCTTTTGTTCCATTTTTTTATCCTTCTCGTCAACAGAAGACGCTGTGACTCATGGTTGTTTTGTACACACGTTGATGAAACCGAAAATTCGATTCTGACTCTTGAAAGGGCTACTGTTTTCGTTTGCCTGTCTAAAATAATAGGACGTTAAAGTTGGCGTATATTCAAGATTACAGTTCATGGGAAAGAAAAACAGATTAAAAGAGAATGATAAACCTGTTTTTTGGTATGAACATCCAGTGCAAGCGCATTTGTTTAAATTCCCGTGAAGCCGAAACGTATGATTAATTTTCGAGTATACGTGGAACATAAATCTTGTTGCGATCTTTTGCTAAATTGGGCACCGTATCGTCGTAAATCTTTCACTTTTAGCTACCAAACCGCGAATATGCAAATCCGACGAATCTCATGAGCAATACGTACACACCCAGTGTCGTCTTTTAAATGAAAACCGACACTGGTTTATAAACCCGCATACCAAATTCCGACCCGTTCCGTTAAACTTCCCGTTCTCCCTTGATAAATTTAACCCGTATAAGTCCCTAAATCCCACCAGATGGAGATTCGTGATGTGTTTTCACCGCGACATCCCTAACCGTGATGTTACCGAAAATTTTGTGACGTTCCGTGATTTTCCCTTCCCATGTTTATTCCAATTGGGGATGTTTTTCCAAAGACAAAATATTA